AGAAACAGCAGTGACACAGTCAACCTGGTACCAGTGTGCCAAAATCGGGGTGACAGAGTTGTGTTGGCAGTAACGACCTGCTGCATCCTAGTGCAATCGGGGACCTTTGTCCTTCCACTGGCCATCCGGCCCCAAGGGCTGGCCATGTACAGTTTCTATCTGGAGTCACAAACACACATAAACCCAGGCATAGAACAAGCATATGGCAGCCACATTACTCACACATTCACACATTCACATAGGCAGGGCATTCCAACAGAAAGGCATACAAAACCTTCCCCAGGGAAACAGTGTCAGCTGACCAACTTAAAAATCCTAAAATGAAAGTTACAGTCTAAAGTAGCGTAGGAAAGCACAGTAAAGACAGTTCCTAGCCACGGTGTCAGCCTTGTAAGTCAGAAAGAGAACAGCACAACACACAAGACAACAAACAGCTCTCCTGGCACCGGGAGACACCACCCAAAGGGTCCTGAGATGTCTCCCAGGTATCCCACTGTGGTCCTCCTGCGTGCCCGCTTAGACCGTCTACAGGATTATAAACTTTGGGCTCACTTACAAAAGCATATCCAAAGCAGAAAGACATGAAACGAAAGTAAGCATAGAAAACATGAAAGTAAACGCAGACACAGAAAACTAACCAGCTGGCTGAAGGCTCTATGGGCCATGGTCCTGGTTGGCTTGGGGGTCCCAGATGAGCCCCTAAATGTTATGCCCAGATCGTGGGGACCCCCAAAAGACCACCAGAGAGACCAAATCCCGTATGTAAAAGCAAAGAGCCTTTACTTCAATCTCGAGCTTGGGCTCTTCATCTGGCCGATGCAGCAGTGAGAGCAGAGGGCCCTGAGCCTGGGCAGGGTGGAGTTTTTATCATAGCAGAGGTTGGGGTATCTTGGTAAAAGGGAAATAGGTGTATGCTAGGCTCCGGGACGTCTGAGGATCTTATCTAACGGTTGGATGTTTGGAATGTCAGGTACTTCCCCTCAGATGCTGGCCCTTCCTGGGTGGGGTCAGCTTATAGTTTTTCCTGGGGACCAGGAGGTACCTGTCAGTAAGCCTGTCATGACAGGTATGTCTGGGTCCCTAAGCCTGTCATGGCAGCTGTGTGGTCAAGCTGTTTTGGGTCCCCCACAGACACAGCTGCCACTTTGCATCTGCAGTAGGAAGCAGAGAGAGATGGTGCATTTTCTTCTGTTTATTCAGGTGGGGACCACAGCCCATGGAAGCTGTCAGCCTGGCTGAGGGGCATCTTCCTGCCTCAGTGAGTCTGACCTAGATGACACCTCACTGACATGCCCAGGTGTTTCTGGATCCTGTCCAGTTGTCAAAATCAACATTACCGATGGCAAGGTCATAAGGTGCTACTGTGGCCTCTGACTTGGGCTATGTCCTCTTAGGTAGACACTGGAAGACTTTATGGCCAACATGTCAAACCAGTTCCTGCCTTTCAGTTTTATGTCCTTGTCACTTGTATATGGTCACATATGTACAGAAGAAATTGATGCAATTGCAGGACATGGTCGGCAGTCTTATTAGTGAAACACAAGATCAAAAATTTCACTAAAATTTTAGTTTGTAAATATGCCTGTAAAAATTCACCTTCCAGCTTCTGCTAATGTGCAAGAGTCGTAGAAGGACTAATTTCATCTGTCTTAGTTAGGGTTTCTATTGCTGTGAAGAGACAGCAACCCTTACCAAGGACAGCATTTACCTTGGGCTTGCTTACAGTTTCAGAGACTTAGTCTTTATTGTCACGGCAGGAAGCTCAGTGGCATGCAGGCAGACACGGTGCTGGAGAAGGAGCAGAGGGTTTCACACCTGATCTGAAGGGAGCAGAAAGAGAGAGACACTGGGCTTGTCTTGAGCATTTGAAACCCCAAAGCCCACCCCCAGTGACACACTTCCTCCAACATGGCCATACTTCCCAATCCCTGTCAAGTAGCACCACTCCCTAATGACCAAGCATTCAAATACATGCGCCTATGGGGGCCATTTGTGGTCCAACCACTGCACTGCCATACATAAGAAACTAAAGTAGACACTCCTCTTCAGCCTGGCAGATGATCATAGGATGAACTCATTGAAATCATCGGATGAACAGCTGACATAAAAGCTGGGGTGGGGAAGGGGAGTGAGTCAGGAAACAGAAATGCTCTGTCAAGTCTTTCGTATGGACTTGTGTTATTCATATGCAGTTCATAAAAGACTTGGCAACTGTAAAAGGTTTCTGAACATGCAACAGACAAAACTTACTTCGAAATCAAACACATAATTAATCCGAGGTATTTCTGGCAATGTTTGCCTGTTTCATCGGATGACATCACTTCAGTCTTGTTTCTGAACAAAATATGTGCACTTTGCACAGGACATGCCTTCACGCCATGCAAGGGCAGTGACTGCAGCCTGTGATGGCTAGGCTCAGACTGAGCCCATTCGATATGGTGGCTTGCAGTGTGAGCAAGTTTACTGTCCACACAGAGTTTTCTGCTCCTGTAGAAACAAAGTGGTTTAATTACAGAAAACAAAGACTTCCACTGTTTTCTTACTATCATGTTTCAGAATGCAAGTGTCAAGTCTGGCTATCGGGGATTGTATTTTATCAGAATGTTTGATTGTAAGAATTGCTGTTTGAGTCATCGTATTGAGTTTCATAAAAAATCAATCAATGCATTGTGGTTTGAGATTGGAACAGAATTTTCAGCAATTTCTGCAATTGCCCTAAAATATTTCTGCTGCTTTTTATTACATATTTATATGAAGTACCATTCTCAGCATTGATGATGATTAAATCAAAGTATTCATTAACCCTCAAAAACATTGAAGATGCTCTAATCCTGCAGGATTAAATATTCAGCTGAGATCTGACTCTAAAATAAACAAGCACCATCTCATTAGTATGTAAATTTGCTTTCAACTTTAATGAATGGTGAAATTTTATTAATTACATGTATACTAGCTAATTGTGTTGAACTAAATTTTTTGTGATTTCTTGCCAGTAAATGATTTCCTCACCTATCTATTATTCTTATATATATCCTGGGTCACATAAGCATTCCTCAGGCCAAAAAGGTCAAGGAAGAACCTTCAGCCCTGTATGGAGACTGGAGAGGTGTTTCAGAGGTTAAGGGCATGTGTGGTTCTAGCAGAGGAGCCACATTCAGTTCCCAGTGCCCAGGTCGGGCAGCTCACAACCCCCTGTAACTCAGCTCTAGGGGATCAAATGCCCTTTTCTGACCTCCACAGGCACCTGTACTTACATTCACATACCTACACACTGACACATGCATACACATAATTTAAAAGTAAACTTTTTTTTTTTTTTTTTTTTTAAGAAGCCCTGTACTAGAACAGAAAGCCAGGAGCACACATGGCCACAGGAACCAATGGCAGGTCAGAGAGATCTAAGCTGTGACTGATGAATTCCTAGGGACTCGGTGTAGACAGCTGGAGAGTTAAAATACCAGCATGCTACAATTACAAGAAGGAATGTCCGATGTTTTTTCATGAGGAAAATGCAAATCAAAAGTACACAGAGAGCCTGTTTCACCCATCAAAATGAGTGTCATCAAGGAAACAAGCAATAACAAGGCTCAGAAGGATGCCCAGGGCAGTGGGGGTCAGGAAAGAGACCAGAGAGGAGACAGTGAAATACAGCAATGGGTGAGTACGGTGGAAGTGTGTCAGTGCACGTGCACAACTATCACACAGGAGCATATTGTTTCACACAGTTAACATGGACTTAGAATAGAAATTTCAGTGCCAGACTGGAGGAGGTAGAGTGTGAGATGAAGTGCTAAACAGTCTTATTAATAAAAAACCCGGAGTCAGATATTGGGGTTAAAACCGAGAGATCAGAAAAGCAGAAAGAAGCCAGCCACGTTCTCATCACTTGGAGATCCTCAGCCAAAGAGACCTACTTCCTGTCTACCCACACCTATATGCCTTTCTGTTTTACTATCTCATTTCCTTTCTCTGCCCAGCTACATCACTTCCTCTTCCTGCCCAGCTCTGTCACTTCCTATCTGTCTGTACAGACCTCCAGACCTTTATGGTTAACTACTGTTGGAATTCAAGGCATGTGCCACCATGCCTGGGTCTGTTCCCAGTGTGGCCTTGAACTCACAGAGATCCAGACGGATCTCTGCTTTCCAAGTGATAGGATTAAAGGCATGTGCTATAGTGGCTGGCTTCTTCCTCTGATCCTCAGATAAACTTTATTGGAGTACACAGATAAAATATCACCACAGTAGGGGGCAGCCTTAATGGACATCCATATCCTCATGAATTCTTCCTCCAGGAGATATATCAAGTTCTCACAGTAAAGATTAGAAGAAAAAGAAATCCCATTTTGCTTCTGACAGTGAGAGGAAGAATGTATTCATTTTGCAATAGCCCAGAGCACTGTTCTCTTTAATCAAAGTGACTTCTACCAGATCCCAACTGTCTTGTAGAAAGATAAACACCAAAATCTAGTCCCTTCTTGCCTTCCTGCTTCAGCTGAGAGGGAAGAAAAACTTGAGAAGTATTTGTGAAAGTCACAGTTCAAGGACATGTGCTCACTTACACAGTGAGATTGCATCACAAGGCTCTAGAATGCTTCTCTTCACATCTTACTGGTTCCTCAGTAAATCTCCTCTGAATAATGAGGGATTTCACCTGAACTGTTTTTCTCAGGCCTAAATTATGAAAATGTCAAACAAGAGGAGAAACAATAACAAGTTCTCCTGGGATATTTTGGCCCCTAGTGTCTCCAACCACAGCAAAAAGTGAAGCGTCGAACTCCTCCACACATAAGCAGATAGCTGTACACTGCTTACTGGAGCCCTTACTTCGCCCTTTTAGTTGGCACACTGTGGTCTACATTCAACAGAAAACAACAAGGCACATTAAAATCCAATCCATTTAAAAAGAGCATCAGCCCAGACAGACATGACAGAGAATTTGGAATGATGACTCTCAGGCATGTCAATCAATTATGATTGTGTTGCAGGTCCTGAAGGGAAAAGTGAGCAACATGCATCACAGGAAAATGTAAGCAGAAGATAGAAGTTAAAGAAAATAAATCAAAAGAAAATCTTACAATCAAAACCACCAAACAAAAACACTGAGTTTTTGAGAGGCTTTGCAATGGACAAGACATAGTTGAAGAAACAGTCAGTAATCTGGAAAGTATGTCAATGGAAATTTCCCGGAGGAAAACATGAAAAGAAAAAACTACGAACTATACGGACTATGTAAGAACTGTGGGTGAAGTGGCGATATTGTCAGGTGCCTTACAAAAGCAGAGTCAGATCTTGCTCCGGACTTCCCTTTTGGAAAACTGAAAAGGGGAAAAAAAAAAAAAAAAAAAAAAAAAAAAAAAGCAGAGTCAGACATACTGACGTTTTTGCTTTGCTTGATTAGACCGTTCTGTGTTTGATTCATTTTGTCTGATTTGTTTAGCCTTTTGTTTTTCAAGAATTTGTGTGATCTTATTTCAGACATATTTATTGATGTGCTGCTGATCCTCTTGTAGATGATAAAGAGCCTGCATGGGGCTGTGCTCAAGAACAGAGTGAACAATCAGAGGCCATGGGAAGCCAGAGTCTGTGAACTCAGCTCCAGTCCATTCTTCCACACAACCATAGCAAAGGTAGGTGACATTGAAATTTGGGTGACCTGCATGTATGTACTGGGTAGGTTTTGTTTGTTTTTTGTTTTAAGCTTTTACATGCACGTGAGTCTCAGTCTGAAAATATCATTGCCACAAATAATGCTTTTTCCAACTTGATAAACTCATTATAAAGAAATATTTTGGATCCTTTATTGTACTAAAGCCACAGATAATTATCACACAGTCAGATTAAGGTAGCCACTCTAACACTCGTCCAGCCCCACATTCTAAGTGTTCTCTGTGAACTTCTCTACAGTTGGAATGGTCACTCTGAAGCTGTGGAGCTTCACTTAAGGTTTTAAACTTTCGCTAGTGATTATCTTTTTGTGGACTTATCTACCACAAGGGAAAGAAAGAAATAAAGGATTAATGGCACATCCTGGGGATGTATATGGTGACATGAAAACTGACAGCACTGAGGCAAGACCACGGACATCCTTACCACTCGCCCCATCAGGCACTCTGAGCTGCTGCAATAGAAATCCTACAGACTGAGTGGACCAAACAACAGAAATTTATTTCTCCAAGTCTAGATGTTACAAAGTCCAAGGTACCAGCAGATTCAGTCCCTGCTGAGGATGCTCTTCCTGGTCTGCAGATGGATGCCTTCCTTCTGCAGATGCTCCCATAGAGGACAGGGAGACATTCACCAGGGCTCCGACCTTATGACCCAATTCCTTCTGATATTATCACACTGATAATTTAGGCTTCAATACATCAGTTAGGATAGGGGACCATCATACCCGCTGTGCCAGGGCAAGCCCACCATGAGTCCTGAGTGCCCCTGAGCATCATTGCTGGATGTGCTGTAGACCTGACCTCTGTTCACTCAGTGGCATCTTATTGCCCTGTTGACCCTAAGAAGACTGAAAAGATGAGATCGCTCATCCTCCCAGACACACACACACACATACCCACACGGACTACTTAAAACAAAAGCTGTAAGTTTCTCAAGTTCAGAGTTCCTCTCTAGCATGCAAACCACTGAGTGAGTGGGAATATTCTTGGCCTGTCTATGTCATTGTCCTCTTTTCTCTCTGTGGGACTTGGTAGGTGTGCTGGATAGTTTTATGTCAACTTGACACAAGCTAAAGTCATCTGAGAGGAAGGAACCTCAGTTAAGAAAATGCCTCCATAAGATCCGGTTGCAGGCATGCTTGTAAGGCTTTTTCTCAATCAATGATTGATGGGAGAGGACCCAGCCCACTGTGGGTGGTGCCATTCCCGTTCTGGTGGTCCTGGGTTCTATAAGAAGGCAGACTGAGCAAGTCATGAGGAGCAAGCCAGTAAGCAGCACCCCTCCATGGTCTCTGCATCAGCTCCTGCCTTCGGGTTCCTGCCCTGCTTGAGTTCCTGTCCTGACTTCCTTCAGTGATGAACAGTGCTGTGGAAGTGTAAGCGGAATGAACCTTTTCCTTCCTGAGTTCCTTTTGGTCCTGATGTTTCATCACAGCAATAGTCACCCTAATTAAGACAATAAGCGTAGGAAACCACTCCAAGTGAACATAGAGCTGTGACTACTACTCACCTGACAGTAATAAAGCCCTTTGTGTCTAGCTCAGGAGTCTTACACCCTTCACCACCATCCATGAAACCATGGCAGAATAAGTGGCTAGCCTGCAAATGTGGTAGAACTTTGGGCCCTACACAATTTCTGATGACCATATCAAGACAAAAGGCTTCTTTTCTTCTCTGATAATAGCCACTGAGAAGAGAAGCTTTCCAAGCCACTAACTCTCCCACCTGTTCCAGGCCTGTTAGCTGCAGTAGTGCGCGTCTGACTCGGGACCTCTGATAGGGTGACTTCCTGTGTAGAACCGCAATAAGCAGTTCATTGTCATGCTCTATGATCCATCGGATTTTCAAAGAAGTAGAGGCTTAGACCAGAAGAGACTGTTACAGGAACCTCTTCAGCTTTGATGACAGTATTAACCCTCGTGATTCTTCAAAGCTTGTGTTATCACCCTCGCAATTGTTGACAGCTAGGGCAGTTTCAGGAGTTCATACAAGGCCGGTGGCTCTCAGTTGGCATGGATTTTGCCCTTGTAAGTGACATGGCAGTGTCTAGAATCAAACTTTGTGTCATAATCAGAAGATGTCACTGGCATTAGTGGGTGAAGGTGAAGGATCCGTTAAACATACAACACCCAGGAAAGCCCACGGCAAATCCTACCTGTTCCAATGGCAGCTGTGACGAGTCTGGAAACTGCCCTTTTTACTGCCCTTCACTACTCTGACTCCACAGGGCAGGCAACCCAGTCAAGGCTACTGCCAGAAGCAGAACATTACTGTCTCCATCATACACCTGAGAACCAGAGTAGTTATTGCAAGTGGGTACCTCAAGTCCCTGAACACGCCAGTAAACACTTGTCTCCATAAGTCTGTCTTCTGGTGCTGGGGCTGTGGTGGTGTTTCCAGTCTCCTGCTCTCCATGTCTTCTCATACACTGTAGATGACAGTCTTTGAAAACTCAAAGCCTCGCTCTTTCCCGAGTGTCCAGTTAGCTAGGAATTTGCTTTTTCCCTTGAGGAGATGATTGAGAGGTACAGTTACAGTATGTACTAATAATGTAGAGCCTTTCCTCTAAAAGATCCAAGATCAGTGGGTCTGGGTTTTTTTTGTTTTTGTTTTTTTTTTTTTTTTTTAGTTTTTCGAAACAGGGTTTCTCTGTAGCTTTGCGCCTTTCCTGGAACTCGCTTTGGAGACCAGGCTGGCCTCGAACTCACAGAGATCCGCCTGGCTCTGCCTCCTGAGTGCTGGGATTAAAGGCGTGCGCCACCACCGCCCGGCGGGTCTGGGTTTTTTAACTGACTTTGATCTGGAAACTTCTTAATGGAGTCAGTCAGCCTTCTAAGATGGAAGTCAGTCCTCTGTTGAACAGCTCTTGATTTTCAGTTACCAAAGGCAAGCACCAACTTCTATTTTCCATTGCTGGGTGGTTTGAGACCCAGGCCTCCTCATTCATCCTGGGGCTTTGCTGCTAATAGTGAGAACTAGATCTACTTTTCCTTGGATGGTTGAAGACTGGTCCTTGACAGTTCCTATTCCTTTCACCAGCATGAATGCAAGAGCCATGGTTCCGTAGCTGCAATTCCCACTGTGAACTCCAGAGTGTTCTACAGAGGACAGCCACCACTGGGCTTCTTAAAGGCAACCTCCCTGACTTTATCCTATTTCTCCATTTGCATGGCATCCTTTTGGCCATGCAAATGGAGTCCTTCTGAGAAGTATAACCAGGTGGCAAGCCTTAAAAACTGAATCCATTCCTCATACCTACTTCATTGAAACTGCTGACCCTTTTCTCAAAACGGTGTTCAAAATGTGTCAATACCCCAAGGCTCCAGAGAGGCTCTAGAGGATCAGTAGGTAAGAGCATTGGTATGCAAGCATGAGATTCTGAGTTCAAATCCATAGCACCTTGTAAAAAAAAAAAAAAAAAAACAGGCCTGGCTGTGCACATGCCTGCAATACCAAAACTGCAGGCACAGAGGCAAGAAGGTCACCAAGGTGTGCTAGATGCCATTCTAGCTCCAAGTTCAGTGGCAGACCCAGGCTCAAGAGCATCAAGTGGAGAATTAGTAGAGTAGGACACCTGCTGTCCTCTGGCCTCTGCACATGTACACATACGTCACACTGTCACACACACTGTGTTTCCTTTAGACCACCGTGGGCAGTAGGCTTGAAGAAGCCATTGAGTAACATTCCTGGACCAGCTTCAAGTGTCTCTGCAAGACTACTAAATCCAGAGTCACAAATTAGCATCTATCAAGCCGTGCTAGACCCGGCATCTGCTTCTGGCTGTGTCGTAACCCCCAGGTCCAGCCCCACGGGCATCCGACAGCTCGAGGCAGCACATTTCCCTCTTCAGCACTGCTTTCAGACGGTGTCCGTTCCTTTCCCAGTGGAGCCTGCACATCTTAAGGAAATACACTTGTGGAGTGTGCTTACCCTGAATCTGTGTATATCCAGGGGACATTTTCCTGAATCAGTATATATCCAGGGCACATTTCGGTGGGCTTTGAGGGACCCTGAAGAACAAAGTGTCATTTAGGAAGATGACTGCTTCTAGTGAGATTGTACATTCCCAAGCAAGGGATGCTTCTTTAACCCTCATGAGGGGAAACCATCTGATTCTGCCAGTCAGAGGGATCTAGGCTTCTCTAAACAAATGTCCCCAAATCACATTTTTATTTTCCACTCTTTCCTATCAGACCCTGGCTTTGACATAGGAGACCTATCCAGTTTTCCACCTTCCTCCTTCCCTTTCTCCCTCCCTCCCTCCATCTCCCTCTCTCTCTCTCTTTCTATTTCTCTGAGACATCTTCTCTCCATATACATAGCCTAGACTGTCCTCAAACTTGAGATCCTCCTGTGTCCATCCTCTAAATGTGTAACAGGTGTGTACCAGCATGTGTGGCCCACATTTACTTGTATTTACATCCCTGCCATGCTTGTGATCACACTCTGAGACAACTTTGAGCCCAGCAGGATATGAAGGCCTTCATTCATTCTGATTCACCATGGAGGGTGCTGGATTTCAGAGCTTGACTTGAATTGGTCCTCAGATGCTCTGAGCCTGTCAAATATCTCAAAAGCAGCCACCCTGCACTTTAATTGTTCCCTTTCAGGGGTGAGGCAATGGCTTCTTGCCTAGAGATTCACTGATCAAACATGGTAGATCTGCACTGCGGCCTATTTAACCAAGGATGAAAGAATTAGTAACTTGAAACCACTGTGAGGAACCATGATCATCCTTCATACCTATTTTCAAAAAGATGCCCACGATATCCAAAAATCTCACTCTAGGAACTTTGTATTGACTTTCTTACTAAACATAGGTCAGAGTAAATTTCTGTACCATCCTTCTTTGGGGATTGTGTGATCCCAGGATAACTAGATTCAAGGCAAAGGAAGTAAAGCCAGAAAGGAAAAAGGAACCCTGACGTCACCACCCAGCCAGAGCTCTGCAGGAAGAAAAC